CCCTTGGTATCAATACCACCCATCCTGAGCTCAGCCCCTTCCTTACAAATATTTAAGAAGCCGACACCTGTAAGGTATCACCGCACCCATTTGTATCGATCAATAAACTCAAATTGTTGTCCATTCTTTAAACAGTTTACGATGTCAACGTTACACAATTAAAATGAAACCTTTTAAGTAAGTATAATATACTGAGATCATAACTAATATGTAAGTGTAAGAAGTGATCACAATACGATGGCAAAAGCAGCAAGCGACGCGAGGTCCGAGGGTATTGACTTCGAAATGTCTTTGGCCCTATTTTCTACACACGCATCGGCGACGCGGTCAAATAAAAAATACAAAACTGACAAATTGCTTGTTATCTTTTAGATAAAGTTATATAATGGCTGTTATAAATCTTCATTATAAACAACACTGAATTCATCATTTTAATTATAGGGTTTACGAATAGCTTACAAACTAAAATCTGATGTCAAGCATTTCAATTGCAACTCCGCTGTTAGATTCCCGAGTTCGATCCCAAACATTTTTTGAGTTTTTATCCAGATTTTTTTAGTAATTATATCGAAACATGAAAAAAACGCCTAAACAGAAGGTTAAAGTAAACCTAAGAATACTGTAATATAATGTCTAGAAGTAAACTTAAGAAAAGACATTCGTCTTTGTTTTCTTTGCATTTTAAAAAAGTTAATGGATTAATCTTACTGTAACAAAAAAAAACAAGATGCAAAATGTATGTTACCTCGTTTAACTACGTTGTTTTAAACAAAATATTCTGCATCGAGTGTCATGGTGAAAATGCGGCGGACCGTAAAAAAAAGGAATTTCGTAATACAATGCTTTTTGTGTCATTACCCTTTGTAACCGACATATATACATACTATGTACACACAACAATATTTTACAACTAGTAACCTGAGAAGACCTCGTAAGAAAGTAATTTTAAAACTGCATTTTCAATATCCAAAGTATCAATTGGGAAAATTACTTCAACTTATGTTTAGAATCTGCCACTATATTATTACTCCCTTTTTTTACCGAAAACAGATATTCAATCTAAGATATGATTTAATATTTAGAGATGCTTGCTAATACTGTATGCCTTATTTTAATAAACATCCTACATATGATAAAATGTAGTCTTATCCCTTTTTAACCAATACCACTCTAAATGTTAATTTTTATTTACAATATTTTAAATATAACATGTTGGCGCCTAAATGTTCTCATCATATTTTAATAAGTAAGAACAAATACATGTATTTAAATACAATCTAAATCAATAATAACAATGTTTTCCTAATTTATTTTGTATGGTCGCAAAGGCGCAAAACTTAAAATTAAAGAAAAAAAAACCTACCTAGAACAATCACAATTTTTTTACCTTCACAAAGTACTTTACTTTTCACTGGGCACAAAAAAGGATGTCAATATTTATCACTGCTTGAGCGATCATTATTCAGAAAATTTTATACGAGATTAGAAAAACTTATTTGAACTCAATAAACGCGACCGACCGCCTACAAATCGCAACACAGGATAACGAATAACGGCTAAACTACATCGTAAATAGCAGTTAAAATACTGGTTGTAACGGTTATTATTAGCAAACCTGCTATATGCACAAAATACGACTAATTTGATATTTCACTGCAAAAAAGATATGATTTGGATCTCACAAATTTTATAATAATTTGCTAAAACTGATTAAATATAATTTTCCTCAGTATGCAGTGTATAGTTTTTGACTAAAACATTCTAACGAACGCATCTTAAGGGAACGTCATTTAATTTAACTCTGTCATTTTATGTTTCGTTTGCGTTTTGCGTCGACTTTGACTGTAAATTATTTGAAGAAATATTTTACATTGCAGAAATCGCAAAATAAAAAAAAGCTTAAATAAATAAAATTTGTTCAACATGTTTGCTGCAAAAATATAGTATAGTGTCTAGTTACATCTCGAGAACATTACCCTTAGAAAAAAGATAAAAAAATGTTTGTCAAAATATGTACTCAAAAATAATTACTTTCTCTAATTAAAGGATTAGTTAAAAGTGTGTTATGGCTCCTGGTAACAAAGATCGCCACCCAAGTCACACGGGTGCTATTCCCAAAACTAAAGCCAGGAACAATTGTAATGTTCCCCAAGAAGCTGTGACACCGACGAGAAGGGACATGACAACAAATCTTGTAACGGTAGTGCCAGGATTATTTCTAAAAGTTTATAATTACTTCAAAATTCATTGATTTTTCGAAAAAATATTCAACACAACAATACGTTTACAAATCTTTGTTGCCTATGTTTCTGCTAAAAATACTTCTGTCAAACCATTCAGTCTGAAGTTTTTGGAGCCGCATGGCGCAATATATTTTTAGAATCATGGGAGAGTTAAGAACTTGGACTTTGGCCAATTTGATGTAGTTTCAAATAATTGTGAATAGAAATCAGAAGTATATTCTAACCTAGTAATATTCTTAAGGTATTTTAGACAATTAAATCTAGCATAACAATGTTTGTATTCCATTTATTACATATACAATACAAATATTAGCCATATGGGTACTTGCTTTTCTAAATTCAGCCAGAAGAAGGTATTAGTTCATCACACAGATGTAAAGAATTTTATAGCCTGTTACAATCATTGCATATTTTTAATCTTGCTCACAATTTAATTGAGAGCATACATTCCCTTATAAAACCTTTCATTTTAGACTTCTTTGGATTGGGTTCCTGTTTCCGAGTATAATACAAGATCAAATTTTAGTCAGTCAAGAAAACCAACCAACAATACTTCAGATCATGAACTAACAGATTTGGGTAAGTATTTTTAACAATTATCCTATATTTAACTAAAAAAATACTGATTATTTAATAATCAGGTTGTTTCTATTTTTAGATAACTCGGTGACTTTCGAGAGTGGTTTCGGGCGTTTTGTACCAGTAAGACCTCAACCGCGTGCATTGCCCTTGACTGTGCAGAATAGAGAAACAATTTCTACAGACCATAATGATGATGGTGCAGGTTCATCTCTTTCTTCCCATACAATACATCATTTTCAAAATGGTATGTTTTTTTAAAACATTTATTTAAGTATAGAAGTTTGTGATAACTTGATTTTTAATACTAAATGATCAAAATCATATATTCAACTATGTCATACATTAAATATATCTGAAAGAACTGTTGTACAACTGATTCAGTTCAAGTTTTATGTGAACATCTTTATAGAACTGGTAGGATTCAGTTTTATGTAAATGTAGTCCTTACACATACACTAACTAGAAGCTAGGTCTTCAACAAAATTTATTATTTGACTATATTGCCATGTATAACTCAAATGAAGTTACAGTTCACACAGATGAAGCAGATCATTGATCAGTTCAATTGTAACAATTCATGACTCATCAATTCTCATAGTTATAGTACATAATGTTTAAATGTGAACTGATAAGTTGTTGAGACACACAACAACTGATCTGGACTATGTGAGCCAGAGCTGGTTGACACACATTAAATACATAGTCACAAATTAGTGGGATTGTGGAATTGTTAATAGTATTTGATACAAACTACCACTTATATTATTTTATCTCAATCTTACTACTTAAGTTACGGAACACAATTTTGTTTAGGCCTAATTCCTCACTCTAATCATGGTGCAGCTGCTGTGATGATAGTCAACCCTACAACACCCAATGCTGTGACTGGGAATATGTCTCAACCTTTTAATGTAAGTATTATTATTTTATCCTCCACATAATTGATTATTATTGCATTAGCTTGGTAATAATGTAATTTATATTTATTCATTAAAATGACTTGCTACAATACATTTAAACATAAGAATATTTGTGACTAGTGGTTGCTCACGACTTCGGCTACGCGGCATTAAAAAAAATAGAAATTGATAGGGCTTATGTTATACAGTAATAACATTGCTTTTTAATAGTAGAAGATATCAGTATATACACAAACGTAGATCTTTCGTGTTTCCAATATTAGTAAAGATAAAGCGAAAAATTTATTCAGTTGATATTTCAGGCACCTAATCAGAATAGAAATAATTTGACAAGAAATCTGAACTCTACACGAAACTCATTTGACGGTAACATACACGCAAGTAATAATAATATTACACCTCCAATTTCCAATTCAAGAACTGGAACTAAAGCTGTAAATCTAATGAATAACATGTTTGATCAAGCCCAAGGGGGCTTCAATAATATAAACGAGAATAATCCGGTAAGATGTAAAAATTGTTATTCTTTTTATATATGTAACATATGGATTAATTGATTCGCGGTTGTGTCTGATTTGGAATGTTTATCTCAGACCCATAGAGAGTCTGCTCGAGCTTTAGGAGAGGCGATTGTTGCCGCATGTCCTGACGCTGCTGCGGTAGAACGTAGACTTGGACAGATCAGAGAATATATTCGAGTCACATCCTCACTTGTGGACACCATGCGGAACTCAGAAGACGAGGTAACTTGTGCACCATTAAAATTATTTAACTTAAAACATAATTTAATAGTTGCATCTTTGTATTCTCAATTTAGGCATATATAGAACACACTAAAGAGGAATATGATGAGCTTCTTCAAATGATAGCTAAATTAAGAGATAGTGAAAAGAAATTGAAAAGCATATTAGATGATGAAAACAATCTTGATAATATAGAAGTACCTTTACTGGAGCCAGATTCTGTTAATCCAGTTGAAGTTACTGAAGTATCAGAAAAAGTCCCCAGTGAAATTTCAAGTGTTAGTCAAAACTTAGATCAAGGCACATCAAAAAATAATAATGAAAACAATCTAATCAATAATAACCTTAAAAAAGTTACAAATATAGAGAATGAACAATTAAATAAAACAACAATACAAAGAACAAATGAAATACATGCGGAAAATAAAGATACAGATGGTGTTATTATAAAAGAGATAGAAACAAGTGCTTTTGACGACACTGAGGCTATAAATAGTGATTATAAACGCAACGACGAGCTCAGAAAAAATATAATATCATGTGTTGAGAAAGTAGCCATGATAGAAGAAATTAAAAACAAAGTCAATGATATTGGCAACAATGACCAGGTTTTGTGGACTCTTGTTACAATGTGTGACATTTGTTGTTAATTGAAATAATCATAGCATGTGCGGAATGATTCATTGAATATCCATTGTTTGAAATCAGTGTGATGTCTTTCTTTAACAATGTCTAATATCTTCCAAATGTTGCGTATCTCATCCTCTTAAGATACAAGTATAAATAACTTTATAGATGTTCAAAAAAGGATTTATCTTTATCAAAATTCCTCAACATTGTACAAATCTGGATTTTGAATTCAAAGATTTTAAAAAGTTAATGTTGTTGTTTTTGGTACTTTAACGTTTTTTTTTTATTTTTAACCTTTAAAACCTTAACATTACTGTTGTGTTCTTCGGTCTTTATCCATCATATATTTCATGTTAATTTTTATATTACCAGGATGTTGTGGTTAGACCTGTATCGGTACAGAGCAATGGTTCAACCTACAGTGAAAATGAATTGTGGCAAAATGAAATTAAAAACAAAATGGAAATGTCCCAAATACGTCTATCTACTTTAAAACAACAACAAAAGAGACTGCTAAAGTACCAGGTATTTTTTTTTATTAATAAAGTAATAAATAAAGTGCAACTTTAAGGAAATCTCGACTGCACCTCTTCCTTAGGTATAAATCAATTAACTTTAATTTCCATTCTTAGGCTGAAGCTAAACAACAACTAGAAGAATTGAAAGAAAGGCAAGCTCAAGAGATTAACCAGCCAAATGCCAATGACAACTTTACTGATATACAGGTATGTATGTTGCAGAAAGGAAAAAACCTTGTTTTACAACAATAGACACATTAGGAAAGAAGTAGGCCTTTATTGATACATTTTTGCTTAATAAAACTTTTCCTATAGTATTAATTTATACAAATTCTGGAGCCCTGTAAGTCGACTGCACGTGTAATAAATGTGTTGTTTTAGCAAAATATGAGTTTTGCTGGAAACTACAATCATCCAAACCGTATGTATGGAGCAAATCAGATTGGTGTAGCGACCACACTGCCTCAGTCATCAGACAGTGTGCACAGCGGACAGATGACCAATAACATGGACACAGAACCTGGACGTTCTAATCAATCTACTCATAGTCAAGATGAGAGATTCTCTATTAGAGATGGCAATATTGCTAGTAGTGAGGTATGTTGGTAATAAAATTATTATTCCTGTTCGTCCATCTTTTATCATCTGTAATCCATGGCAATTCAGTAATAATTTCCATCATTCTGTTCATCTATCATTATTCAAAAATACACAAGAAAATGTCTTTCTTCTTAGATTAAAATTCGATTTGAACTGATGAAATTCTGTATTAGTAAATAAATTATTACTACTTTAGTTAATTGCGTGTAACGTTATAATCAGTATATAACAGTGGTAGTGCCCGCATTAACATCTTGGCACGAATAGGCCGGCACGCCCGGTGTAATACCACGACCACACAGAAGTCTGGCGTGAAATGGAAGCAATTCCGTGTTTCGTCTGATGAGT